GAGATGGCAGCCACACAGCACTCCTGGACACTAGAGGGGTGTGTATGTATGAGAGAGAGTCAGACAGACAGAACTTCAGTCCTGCGGGCTCTGGGGGACAGCAGGTGTTCCCCACCTGGATGCTGAGGGCCATTATGAGCCCTGAATTACATAGAAGCTTCATCAGCTCTGAGCACTGTGGACACACAAGGAGTCACTCCCTGGCTGACGCTGACCCTGTGACCCCCGCCCAGCTGATCCCAGGCTACTGTCCACCTCTCTGCCCTCTGCCACACCCACCAGCCACACTGCCCTGGAGGCAGAGGACACAACACGGGGCGCCATTTGGCTTTTCATTGTGGCCTGTCCAAGTCCCTTGTCCTGTGAGGACTCGGGTGTCCTCCCCGGCTGCTGGGAGTGACATTGTCTGCGCAGGGCGTGGGGTGATTAACAGCCACTCCCAGCGTCTCCTCAGGACTGCATTCGCCCGGGGGAACCTGTTTGAAAAGCATATTCTCTGCCCTGCTCCCCCAGACCCTCCCCTCCCCCTGCCCTCCAGAGCTCTGGGAATGACACCCCTCTCCCCCCCTCCCAGACTCCCAGTGCCAGAGAAGCACTTAGCCACAACTGCCAATGAATGAAGTCTGAATCTAAACTCCACCCACCAGGCCTAGTTCAGGCACTCCAGAGCAGAGCGCCACCTGCTGGTTATTCTGGCTTTGCACACACGGGGCTACCCAGACCACAGCCACCCATCACCAAGTTGTCTGTTCATTCCCCACCCCCCTCCCACCCCCACCCCCAACCTGGAGAAATCAGGCTAAAGTCAATGTCAAGGGATATTTTATTTTTGTTGGCTATCAGACTTGAACTCACAGCCTGGGTGTTGTCCCAGAGCCTTTTCCACTCAAGGCTAGCGCTCTACCATGTTTAGCCACAGGAACACTTCCGGTTTTCTGGTGGTTAATTGACAATGAGTCTTCCAGACTTCCCTGCCCAGGCTTGCTTCGAGCCATGATCCTCAAATCTTGGTCTCCTGAGTAGCTAGGATTAGAGGTATGAGCCACAAGGGCTGGCTAAGGGACACTCGAAATGGCCAAGAGGCCATAAGAGGACAAGGGCAGCACTAGACCCGGCTGCTGTGATGAGAAGAGCAGGCTGCGGGTGCAGCGGGCACCTTTAGTAACAGCTGATGTGGCCCAGCAGGCAACCTGAGGGGAGGAAGGGAAGGTGGGGCAGGGCAGGTCTGAGTACTGACATCAAAGGGAAGGCCATCAATCCAGCTGCTGTGGTCTCACAGCTGCAAACAAGAGTGCATTAAAGACGTGTCATTTCGGGCTGGGAAGGTGGCTCAGTGGTAGAGCGCTTGCTTTGCATGCATGAGGCCCTGGGTTTGATTCCTCAGCACCACATAAGCAGAAAAGGTTGGTAGTGACGCTGTGGCTCAAGTGGTAGAGCGCTAGCCTTGAGCTAAAGAGCTTAAGGACAGCGCCCAGACCCAGAGTTCAGGCCCCACGACCAGCAAAAACAAAAACAAACCAAAAAAACCCCATGTCATTTGGTCTCCGCCCTCCCTGCAGTGGCAGCTTGTTACCTTCCTGGCTGCAGTGCCTGGCCAGCCACGGGTCCTCCAAGGGAGGCCTGGTCTCAATAGCCGCCATCCTGGACAGCTATGAGAATGAGACACCTGCACTGTCTGTGTGCTGGGCAGATGAAAAGGGCCACACTTAGCTTCTGGGGTTGGCAGGTGGGGCCAGCAGGTGAGGGCAGGCCTGGCTGACAGCTCAGCAAAGTTGGCCTCCTCTGCACCCCTCCAACTCTGCACAGAACAAGTCCAAGGCTCGTCTTCAGCCAGGGGTCTCAGCATGACACTTCACAGGATGCAGTTCCAGGCTCCCAGCAGGGTCTTTGCTGGTATTTGTCATTACTGCCCTGGGCCAGGCTGGGTTTCTGGCCACTGGTATGGAGGGCACACCCAGGAAGCAAGGCGGCTTTGGAGACCAAGGTGTGGCTAACAGGACAGGAACACCTGCTCCCTCCACACCCATAAAGCTTCCTCTGAGAGCAGATAGAAGATTAGAGAGCCGAGAATGGTACAGCTGTGAAGGCGCACGCTGCCTCTTCACAGAGCCTGTTTACCCAGTGTCCTGACAGAACGTAGAGCGTCACGTGCTTTCAAAGATGGTCATGAGAGAGAATGAACGGACTTTCCAAACTGTCAAGGTTGAGCGTGTGCTGAACTTCTCCCCCAGTTCCCCTTCCTTTCCCGCCACCCTCCTTTTCCAGTGCTGAGGATACAACCCAGGACTTGGGAGCTGAGGGGCCCTCAAGCCACGTGTGTAAATGCATGTGTACAAGTTTCTGGTGGACCAGTTTTTGTGTGTTCCAGTTCTGAGGCTTGAACTCAGCATCTGGATTCTGTCCCTGAGCCTTTGTACTTAAGGGTAGCGCTAATCATTTGAGCCACAATTCTACTTCTGGCTTTTTTGGTAATTTATTGGAGATAAGTCTCACGGACTTTTGTTTCTTCTGTTTTTTTTTTTTTTTTTTGGTTGGTCGTGGGGCTTGAACTCTGGGCCTGGGTGCTGACCCTCAGCTCTTCAGCTCAAGGTGAGCACTCTACCACTTGAGCCACAGCACCACTTTTGGTTTTCTAGTGGTTTATTGGAGATGAGAGTCTCACATTTCCCTGCCTGGGCTGGCTTTGAACCACAATGCTCAGATCTCAGCTTCCTGAGTAGTTAGGATTACAGGTGTAAGCCACCGGCACCTGGCTTCCATGGTCAGTTCTTGTAAGAATTTAGGGACCTAACAAAGTTACAGACACGGCCCAAGTCTGCCCCAGGCACTTTCCAGATGAGTTGACGAAGTTTCAAGGCATGTGAGGTTCTCCTAACTTCACCCCAGTCCTCAGTTAACTGCTAATTATTCCTTGTTGTTCATGTGTGTACACACCTGCGTAATATATATTCTGCTGAGTGCTGGGATGACAGGCGTGCACCACCATGCCTGACTTGTAGATTTATGATTTCTGATGTTTCTGGGTACTCTGTCTTTATTGTCTCTTCCAGTAGACAGTGATCAAGCAAGAACACGACGCACGTCAGCGAACCGCAGGCTATGTGCCCATGCCTGCCACCTAGCGGCTGTCGTGGGAGTGCAGGGGCTGTCTCTAATCTGGGGCAGCTTTAAGAGGGAGGAAACCGAGGTTCCAGAAGTTAGCAAGACTTGCTTAAAGACAGCTTGTTATCACCAGTCTTCAGCCCCATTCCTTCTCCTCTCAGGATTTGGAGAAAGAGAGCTCAGTGGATCAGGAGAGAAGGCTGGGCCTGGCAGACAGGCTCAGCTGCTCCCACAGTGCCCTGTGCTTGGCTCCCTCAACTGAGACCAACCAGTGCCCCCATTCCAGCCCAGTAACGCCAGTCATCAGTCCACAGTCCCAGAGCTGGGGGCCAGTCCAAACCGGCTTGTTTATTTCACTCACCCCAGAGTACTCTCCAGCTGGGCGTCCACACCCCTCCTCAAGCCTGGACACTGGAGAAATTAGTCAACGGCGCACAGGGGAAAGGCATCCATATTTATAGAGCCAGTGCTGGCATTTGGGTGGAGTTGGTTTCTTGAACACAGGTAAACACTCTGCTCCATCAGGGTGTCTGGCCTTAATCACCTGGGCACCCACCCTCACACTTCCTTTCCCTGAACTGCCTTACCTGCTGCCCCAATCGCCCAGTACCGGAGTGGTTACCATGGATCATTAAGGTCGAACATCGGTGCTCCCAAAAGGAGCTCCTCTCAGCTGCCCCCTACCGGCCGGAGATGCGCTGCTCCCCTGCCCTTCATTTTTTTCTTTTTCCCTGGCTGGTGCTTTACCACTGGAGCCACAGCTCCACCTCCCTGCCCCTCTTCCTACCCAGGGAGCCCGCCTAGACTCTGTCCCAGAAATGTGACCATCACCACTGCAGGTGGAGAGGCGGGACCAAGGGAATTGGTCTGGTAGGTTTCTTGTTTCTGGCATGTTTGGCAACATCCATGTAAACCAGGACACACACACACACACACACACACACACACACAGAATAATTCGCTGGAAAGCAGGCATGACCCTAGAGTGCTGGGCATCACCCTGCAGTCAGGTCTCCTGTGCTCTGAACCTGCCCACTTCTGCTATTCTTGGCTTTCCATACTTCTCCATAAGCCCACTCAGACCTCTGTCATCTCCGCTCCTTCCCGACTCTCCCGAGTCTTCCAGCATCTTGGCTACAAAAGTGATGTGAGGCATTGGAGTTAGGAGTAAGAACTCCTCCAAGTCACATAGGCCAGGCACTGGTGGCTCACGCCTGTAATCCTTGCTACTCAGGAGGCTGAGACCTGAGAACGGAAGTATGAAGCCAGCCTGGGCAGGACAACCTGTGAGACTTTGTCTCAGATTATTCACCAAAAACCTGGAAGCGGAGCTATGGCTCAAACAGTAGAGCACCATCCTTGCGTAAGAAGCCAAGGGAGAGTTTAAAGCCCTTAGTTCAAGTCCAGTGCCAGAAAATAAAAAAATGGCATGGAAACCCAGCAGTTGCAGGGCCTCTGGGGTCAAGTCCCAGACCGCATGGCTTTGGGGCCTGATTCCCCAAATCATGAATGCATGCAATGCAGGAATCCTGTCTCCCATCTGGACTCTCTCTAGGCCCCCCTCGGGGAGACAGGAGTCATCCCTGGTACATTCGTAGTCCAGAGCCCACCTCATTCCAGTGTGGCTAGGAATCCCAGGTACTGCTGCTTGGTGGCATCAGCTGGAGCCTCAAGAGATCTACCAGCACCCAGATCTGCCAGCACCCAGGCAGGGCTGGGCCAGGCTTCAGCCCTTAGTGAACTGTCCGCCATTCCTGACTTTTAGAATTAGAACCTGCTCGGTAGGCCGTGCTTGTAAAACTGCTTTCAATAAACCTTGCTAAAGCAGATAGTACTGGATCCCAGAAGATAAGGTTCCTCCTCTCCCCCCTCCTTGACCCTCCCACCCACCCCCAACTTGCCCACAATGCATAGCAGCACTGGTGCTCTGGGAAACAGAAGCTGGCTCCATCCTCCCCGGGTGACTATCTTCCATCTGCTGGTCTGTCTGTCTGTCTGTCTTGGGGGAACAAAGACTCCTCCGTGTCTAACACCTGCTGCGAACTCCCATCCCCTCCCTCACTAAGCAAGTGCCCAGCTCCAACCCCTTGGAGCAGAGCCGAGGACCCGGGCTCAGGATGCGGCTTTCCGATGGGCCCCAGTGTAGGCATAGGAGATGGGGTGGCGGGTCCCCGGCCGCACGGTGAATGTGTTGACAGGGCTTCTGTAGTGGCCGCTGCCGTGGGGTGACCTGGAAAGAACGAACATAGTGAGGTCCACTGGGGGTGGCGCGTACCCTACCCATCTCCTCCAGGGCACCAGAGGGAGAGTCTCCAGCCACCCACCCCTTGCTCCAGGGATCCTAGTCTGGCAGACAAAGGGCACTGTGGCCCTCTAGGCCCAGAGAATATGCCTAGGCCCCTTCCACTCAGATCTCTGCGCCCCAAGCCTGGGTCTGGAACCCCTAGCTCTCCCTGCTACCCCTCTGGGAGTAGGAGACCCCTCTGCTCACCTGGCTGCGGGAGGGCCGAGGCTGTAGTCCCCGCCGCCGCCGCCGGGGGGCGCCGCGGCCCTGGGCTCCGCCGCGGCCCGGCCGCTGCCCTCCAGGGAGGCGCGGCGCGCGTGGGGGCCGGTGGGGCGCGCGCGGCCCGCGGAGTTGACGCGCCGCATCTCGGGGCCTCCAGGCGGAGGCCCGAAGCAGTTGGGGGAGCTGAGGCTGCGCCCCGTGGCGCCGCGGGGCGTCCCGGGGTGACGGTGGGGCTCCCCGACGTACAGGCGCTTCTTGATGAGGGAACGGCCGGCGCCCGAGAAGCGCTCCAGGCCCCCGGCCCCAGGGTAGCGCGGGCAGGGAAAGCGGGAGAAGCCGGGCGCCGGCGGGGCCAGGTCCAGGGGCCGCCCCAGCTCGGAGAAGTTGTTCCTGGGGGGCGATCGCCGGCGGCCCGGATGCTGGGGGGCCGGGGCGGGGGGCTCGGGGTCGTTGCTGAACTCGGGGGGCGGAGGGATGAGCTCGAAGCCGAGCTCCTCCTGCTCCTCCCTCTTGTAGGCGGGGGAAGGGGGGGACGAGAAGGACTTGGGGAGGCCAGCGGCGGGGGCCGGTCTGGCCCAGGGAGTGGGGGGCTCCCCATTGGTCCACCGGGGCCGGAGGCTGGGCTGGGTGGCCTCCGGGTGAGGCCGGGACACCCACTGTCTGGGAGCCGCCGCCGTCAGCTTGGAGTCCTCGGCCTCGTGGGGTGACTTGGGGACCACCGTGAAGGAGTTGGGGCGCCCAGCGTTGTAGAAGATGCTGTCGGAGCCGGCGGCCTCGGGCTGGCTGCCGTGGCCGTGGCCCCGGAGGCTCCCCGGCAGGGAGGACCGTCCCGGGGTCCCCCCAGGCCGCCCCTTCTGCGCCCTCTGCCTGGCCGCCAGGAGCAGCGCCATCGGGGAGCCGCGCTCCACCAGCTCGCCGGTCACCGGGTGTCTGAGGAGCTGGTCTGGGGCCGGGGGTTTGGCTTCCCTCCCCTCCGCGCGCCCCTCCCCGGCCGCCTCTCCTCCAGCCAGCGTGGGGCTCACCACGGCCACCTCTCTGCTCTGGTTGTTGTGGCCACGGTGGGGCTTGTAGAGAAAGGGGGCGTCTTCTCGGCCGGGGGACAGCTTTGATGGGAGGGCTGGAGCCCAGCCTGCTCTCTGGGCGGGGAGCCTCTCGGCCTCCGGCTCTCGCTCTTCCCAGACACCTTTGACAGACTCGGGCTTCTCCTCCTGCCCACCTGCGATGAAATCCTTCTCTCTCAGCGATGATGATGTGATGGGCAGAGGGGTAGCTGTGGATGATGCCGTAGGCCCAGCTGTGGCCTTGGGTGGTGTGGAAGGCCCAGGTATGGTCTTGGGTGGTGTGGGAGGCGCAGCTGTGGCCTTGGGTGGTGTGGAAGGCCCAGCTGTGGTTTTGGGTGGTATGGAAGGCCCAGCTGTGGCCTTGGGTGGTGTTGCAGGCCCAGCTGTGGTCTTGGGTGATGTAGCCGGCCCAGCTGTGGTCTTGGGTAGCGTGGCCAGCCCAGGTGTGGCCTTGGGTGGTATGGAAGGCCCAGGTGTGGTCTTGAGTGGCATGGCCGGCCCAGGTGTGGCCTTAGGTGGTGTGGAAGGCCCAGGTGTGGTGGCGCTGGGCAGATGCGTAGTAGACAGAGGTGGTGAATTCTTGGCCGTGGGCATGGTCCCATTTTCAAAGGTTCTTCCCCTGTCTGGCAGAGGTTTGGGCGGCAGAGCCCCTCCACTGGGTCTGGCGTCTCTGTTGGATGAGGAGGACAGCCGGGCCTCCAGCTCCTCCCTGATCTGTCGCACGCTGGGGGCTGGTGTGTCCTGGGGCGCGTAGTCCACGGGGGGAAGGACCAGGCTGCCGATGGTCTCGTGCTCTGCCAGGCTGGGGCCCTGCCCAGGCGCCCCTGTGGGCATCTTCTTGGGCAGGCCCGGGCCAGCTGGCTTCTCTGGCGGCCTGTGGTCCTTCTTGCCGTCCGCATCCCGCGAGGGCCCCGCGGGGCCTGGCCTGGGGCCCAGGGCCCTGTCCTCTCTCCGGGGGCCGCAGAGGTAGGCTGCCAGCTCGCTTCGCAGCTTCTCCATCTGGCCGGGGTGGCGCCAGTCCAGGGGCTCAGGCGAGGCCTTATCGTCCGGGCTGGGGGGCTTGGGTTTGGGGGTGGCTTTGAGCGCGGGGGCACTGGCTGTGGAGCTTTTCACCAATCCAACAGATGGAGGGGCTGCCAGCTCTGCCACGGGAGGGAGAGGGGGTGCGGGGGGAGGGGCTGGGGGTGCAGGAGGGGGCAGGGGCGGGGCTGGGGGGGGAGGCCCAGCTGGTTCATGGGCCTGGCTGGTGGGGGACAGCCTGAGGCCTGGGCTCTCTGGTTCCTCAGGCCTGGGCTCCCTGGGGAGGTCGGGCTCGGGGACACTGTCGGGGTACACCTGGGAGGCAGGGCGGACGTGGAAGCTGGGAGGCAGGGGGAGGCGGCTGGGGGGCTTCCTGGGGGACCCCGCTTCCTCTGGGCAAGCTCCTGGTGCCTCGGGCACGGGGATGGAGGACGAGCGGACTGGGGTGGGGGGAGGCACTTTGAATGAGCGCGGAAAGGTGAGATGGGGCTCGGGGCTGGCTCCCAGGGGACCCCCTTGCAGGGCAGCGGGGCTCCTGGGGGGGCTGGTTCTGGGGGTCTCCGGCTGCCTGCCATTCAGTGCTGCCTCTGATTTCCATTTGGTGACTCCCCCAGGAGGAAAGAGCTGGATCCCCAAGGTGTGGGGAGACCGCGGGGCTGGGGCAGCTGGGGGACCCAGGGCTGGCGAAGAGGGGGGAGAGGGATCTAGAGGCGCCGGTGGCGGGGCCGGGGGGATGAAGTCGGGAGGGATGGGCGTGGATGGGGGGGAAAGGGTGGTGGAGGGAGGCCCCGCGTCCAGCAGTGGGGGCGGAGGTGGGGCCGTGCTGGGCGGGGGAGGGGGTTCCAGCAGCAGGGGAGGAGGGGGGGGAGCCGTGGAAGGGGGTGGTGGAGGTGGGGACTCCCGGGGAGATGGTGAAGGGTCCTGGGGCGGCCCTGGGGCGGGGCCTGGGGGCGGCGGGGGGATGGGAGGGTCAGGGCCATATTGCCCAGGCCTCAGGTCGCCCACGGAGCTGTAGAGGCGCAGGTGGCCATTCACCAGCGAGCTGGGCCCTGGAAGGAGAGAGGGGCAGAGATGACAGCGGACCGGGGCCGGGGGCCCCCATCCAGGGGCACCGGGCCACCTCTGAGTGCCTGTGAGGGACAGAGATGTCCAGCAGGCCCTGAGCTGACCTGGGAGGGGCCTTCCTTCCTCCAGGACAGGGCCTGTCTCTCCCAATCCTCCCCCCAGACCCCACAGGCACCTACCTACCCCTCCTGATGTCACTTGCCCGGCCCTACTACTGCTGGCTTTCTAGACCTCCAGGCCCCACCTCTGGCGCTAGTATTGGTGCTTGTACTATGAATTACCATAATGCAGAGGGGTGAGCCACAGTGCAGGGCCGATGGAGGCCCTTGGCAGGCGGTAGCCACATTACTGCAGCCCATGTAGGCCCGCCAGGGAATGGGGGAAAGGAATGGGAAGTCTCAGGCACGGGAAGGTGAGGAAGCCCGCGTGCAAGACCAGAGGAAGGACTGGTTTGCACAAACGGCTTCCTCCTGCTCTCTACCAGTGCTGGTGCTGCACGCCTGTAATCCTAGCTACTCAGAAGACAGATCTCAGTTCAAAGCCAGGCTCTTTATTTGCCAATTAACCACCAAAATGCCAGAAGTGGAGGTGTGGCTCAAGTGGTAGAGTGCCAACCTTGAGCAAAAAAGCCAAGTGAGAGCATGAGGCCCTGAGTTCAAGCCCCAGCCCTGAAGAGAAGGGATGCACACCATTCCGTGCGGCTCCTGGCCTCCCTCCTCCTTGGCCCGGAGTCTGCCTTTGCCGGCAGAGCCAGGGACACCTGGGAATTTGCACTATGGAAGCTCTGCCCGGTGGTCATCTTAATTGCAAACAACTACCATGGCATGAGCCCGGGAGGATGTCAGGTTCCAAATTGGGAGTTGGGGTAGCTGGGTAAACCACGCCCAAACCCCCCACAACATCCCAGTGGCTCTCGGGAAGCTTCGGCTTGAAGAGGACAATAGAACACACAAGGGAGGGATGCATTAGTAAATGATTACTGCAATAGGTAATAAGTTTTCCCCAGGAAGGATCTTAGAGGAAAGAGAAGTCGGGAGGGGTAGAACATTCCAGCCATAGGTGGCTGCAGTGCTGGGGGAGATGGAGGCGGGGAGAAGGGGAGAGGGAGGAGAGATGAAGGCCAGTTCTTCTCAGTCCTAGCGAGATCCTTTCTTTGAGCGGCAGGAAAAGTCACTGGCCAGGTTTGTTTATTTGTGCAGGTCCCGGGGCTTCAACTCAGAGACTGGGCGCTGCCTCTGAGCTTTTGTGCTCCAAGCTAGCAGCACTCTACCACTTGAGCCACAGCTCCACTTCCAACTTTTTGCTGGTTAATTGGAGATTTAAAAGAAGTCTCGGACTTTCTTTTTCCACCCGGGCTGGCTTTGAACCACGATCCTCAGATCTCAGCCTCCTGAGTAGCTAGGATGACAGGCGTGAGCCACCACTGGCGCCCGGCTCACTGGCCGGTTTTGCACAGTGGTGTAACACGGGATGAGGAGTGACACCCCCACCCAAGCACTGTTGCTTTCAAGGTCACTAGAGATGGTGCAGAGGTGGCCTGGAGGTGGGACAGCTAATGTGGAAGAAGCTGGGATTTGAAACCAGATTTGTCTGACTCCAGAGTTCCTTGATGCTCAGGCCTGGTCCCTCCACCATCCTTCCCTGGTGCAGAGGTGGCCTGGAGGTGGGACAGCTAATGTGGAAGAAGCTGGGATTTGAAACCAGATTTGTCTGACTCCAGAGTTCCTTGATGCTCAGGCCTGGTCCCTCCACCATCCTTCCCTGCCTTCTTCCTTCTGGCTCTCCTCAGTGCCCAGCTACCACGACCAGTGGCCAAACAGCCTCGGGTCTCCAGTTCTGTCACCAGCAGGCACTTGGCTTTCGACTCTAGGACCCGAGGAAGACAAGACAAGACAGACCAGCCCCGAGCCCCAAGCCTCGAGCCCACTTACCTGTCACTTCTTTGTCTGCAAAGCCTTCTGGGACAGAGGGGGTGGGCACAGCGAGCCCATGGTGCTCCTGGGTGTTCTGCAAGGAACCAGAGAGCCATCAGGGGCCGGGGAAGGTGGACAGGTGGTTCTCAGAGCCGCACTGTGGTGACAGGGTGGCTGTGCGACCTTTTGAAAGGGTGAGATTTTTTTATGGTCTATTCTTTTTCTTTTTGGGGGGGGGGCTGGACTCAGGGTCTTGCACTCTGACTCTGTTTTTCTCTCATGGCTGGCGCTCTTCCACTTGAGCCACATCTCCACTTGTGCCTTTTTACAGGGTAACTGGAGATTAGAGTCTCGTGGACTTTTCTGCCTCAGACTGGCTTGGAATTGAGATCCTCAGATCTCAGCTTCCTGAATAGCTAGGATTATAGGCATGAGCTACTGGTACCCAGTTCTCCTCTCCATTCTTGCTACTTTGTCAGCTCTGCATTAGCAAGTACAGAACCACTGCTCCCAGGGGCATAGTGAGTTAACTCCCTGTAAATGTCTACTCACAGTTCTGTTCTAATCAATACACAATCTGGTTTTGTGTGTTCCTATCTAAAGGCAATGAAATATGGGGGTGAGGGAGAGAGCATGAGGTAGGAAAGCGTGTACGGTCAGCTGAGACAGAAGGCCTGGGCCGGGACTTGAAGGATGGTGAACTCCTATGATGGGAGTGCAAGCACCGACACAGAAGAAAGACACGTTTAATGTCAGCTAGAGGCTGACAGGCTATCTCTCCTGGGATAGAGAGCAGCAAACTGCTCTCACAGCTGTAGAGGTAGGTACAGTGTCAGCAGTCTGAGGGCAGAAGAAGGGGCTGGGGTAGGAAATCTTCAGAGTCACAGCTGGACACTGGAGCTATCCTATCCCACAGTCGGCTTGCAGCCACAGCCAGGGAACACTTCCTATCGCAGAGACAATACATTCTATATCTGACATATAGCAAAGTCAATGCATCTTAATTGTTGTTTTTTTTTTTGTCAGTCGTGGGGCCTGAACTCTGGGCCTGGGCGCTGTCCCTCAGCTCTTCAGCTCAAGGCGAGCGCTCTACTACTTGAGCCATAGCTCCACTTTCGGCTTTTTCTGCTAATGTGGTGCTGAGGAATCAAACCCAGGGCCTCATGCATGCAAGGCGAGCGCTCTGCCACTGAGCCACCTTCCCAGCCCCAAAGTCAATACATCTTATAGCTGTCCTGTAGCCAGGGAAAACATTCTATAGCAGAGACAATACATTCCATAGCTGGCATCTTGTGATTACCCACAAGACCCAGTGTGTGACCAGGTCTGAGCATCGGGACTCCGTTGCTAATGCAGCCGGGGCCGGTGGGAATAGGCGGCTATAGCGGGGCCTGGCTTGTGGATAACCCAGGGTGAAGGCTGTCAACCTGAAACAGGGGTAAGTTTACAGGGAGTATTAGGGAGAGGACGGAGGATTGACAGTTTGAGGCCGGTTTGGGATATAAAGCAAGACCGTGTCTCAGAAGAAAACAAACAAAAAAATGCGGTGCGTGCGTGCGTGCGTGTGTGTGTGTTGGGAAGGTGGCTTAGTGGTAGAGTGCTTGCCTAGCATGCATGAAGCCCTGGGTTCTATTCCTCAGTACTACATACACAGAAAAAGCCAGAAGTAGCTCTGCAGCTTATGTGGTAGAGTGCTAGTCTTGAGCAAAAAAAACTCAGGGACAGTGCCCAGGCCCTGAGTTCAAGTCCCGGGACTGGCAAAATTTAAAATATAAATTAAAATCAAAATGATAGGGAGAGGGGCTCAAGTAGTGTTTGTACCTCAGTTCTGTGTTCATTCCCAAATAAAGCGGGGAGGGCATGCGTGAGGGGGAGGGGGGGAGGGTGTCCTATTTTTTTTTTTTTAAACCTCAGGTGGACCCGTATGCTTTGGGCCATTCAAAGTTTCCCTGTTCTGCGCATGTCTGAGAAGGACTGTGAAAACTATGTTGAATGTTTGAGCCCTGGAGTGACAAACAAATGTGAGCCACTAAGCAAACAGGGCATCTGCAAATACGGAGGATCAACTTTGGATGAATTTGATCTCAATTCCAAACAAACCAAACCAAACACAAAAGAAGCCCCAGCGCCTCCCCACCCCCACCCAGGGTACCCCCAAGTTTAAGGCTCAGCCCTGCTCCTCCCCACCCCCCTCTGGCTTACTTAGTTTTCATTAGGAATATACAGAAAGAACGCGGGCAAGGGTCGGTGGAGGCCCTTCTGACCTCTGGGCACACCAGAGCGCATTTACACAGCTGTAGATTTGTACACACTATTTTACATTCCATGGTTTTTTTTTTTTCCAAACGCACATTTCCATATGTCAACAGAGGGCATGCACCTGTTGTTTCGTGAGTGGCAGGGCATCTCAGAGCAGCCCTGCCGGGCCATCTGGCATCACTACCACCTTCCTCCCTGCCACCCTGCCAGGACCACCACATGTGTCCCAGATGCTGGGGTGGGTCAGGCCCTGCCCCCCCTTCCACTTATAATAATAATGCTTTTTGTGCTGTGTTCTAAATAACATTCGTGCTGGGCTCTGGGGGCTCACGTGTGTAATCCTAACGAGTTAGGAGGCGGAGATTGGGAAGATTGTGGTTTGAGGCCAGCTTGGGCAGAGAAGCTCAGGAGAACCCTCCCCTCTTCAACCAAAAGCTGGGTGCTGTGGCATACACCTGTCGTCCCAGCACTGAGGGGTTGCTGCTCACTTGCTGGAATCGAGACCCTATCCTAAAATGACCAGCCAAAAGCAGGTCTGGAGACATGGCTCAGCAGTAGAGCCCCTGCCTGCACAGTACCATCAAAGTGTTATCTTTATTTACTCAGAAACCACATGGGGAAACAGATTTTCTCTCAGAAATATTTGGAAGATTACACAACCATCACACAACCCCAGTCACACAACCACCACCACCAACCCCAGTCACACAACCACCACCACCAACCCCAGGTCTGTAAAGCTCTCACTCCTGGGTACTCTGCCTCCCCGAAACCTCTCATCCACCACCTCACACCTGGAAGCCTAGCTAAGAAGGCTGAGATCTGAAGATCGGGGTTCCAGGCCAGCCCAGCCAGGAAAGATTGTCAGACTCTAATCTCCAGTTAACCATCAAAAAGCTGGAAGTGGAATTATGGCTCAAGTGGTGGAGCACCAGCCTTGAGGGGGAAAAAGAAAAAGCTCAGGGACAGAGCCCAGGCCCTGAATTCAAGCCCCAGGACCCAAATGCACGTAGCATGTGCGTGTACACACACAAAACCACTCTCTCATCTTTGAAGGACTAGCTAGCTCCCCCTCCCTCTCCCAGGTGGCAGAACACAGGTAAAGGCTGGAACCCATTAGCCTGGAGTCAACTCTGGGCTCTGCTACTTTCTAGCATAGGACGGTGAGTCCTACTTACTCTCCCTGTGCCTCCGTCCTCACCTGTGGCCTTGGGTGGTATGGCTGGCACAAGTGTGGCCTTGGGTGGTGTGGAAGGCCCAGCTGTGGCCTTGGGTGGTGTGGTACCACTCAAGCAGTGTTTCTGCCTATTAGGGTTACTTAGAAAGCAAACATTACATGCTTCATGCCAGTGTATAATGGTTAACTAGGTGCTGGTGGCTCATGCCTGTAATCTTAGCTACTTAGGAATCTGAGATCTGAGAATCATGGTTCAAAGCTAGCCAGCCCAGGGAGACAAATTTGAGAGACTCTTATCTCCAGTAAACCATCAAAAAGCCAGAAATGGAGTTGTGGCTTAAGTAGTAGAATGGTAGCCTTGAGTGTTAATAGCTCAGTAACAGTACCTAGGCCTTGCGTTCAAGCCCCAGTACACACACACACACACACACACACACACACACACACACACACACACACACACACACACACACACACACACACACACACACACACACACACACACACACACACACACACACACACACACAGAGCAAAATAGGCCAGGTCCTAAATTTAATCCTACCTACTTAGAAGGCTGAGATCTGAGGATCTCGGTTCAAAGCCATCCCTGTCAGGAAAGTCCATTAGGACCCCCCCAACCACTACCCCCACAGCCAAGCGGCCAGAAAACCAGAAGTAGAACTGTGGCTCAAAGTGGTAGAGTGCTAGCCTTGAGCAAAAGAGTTCAGGGACAGTGTCCAGGCCCTGAGTTCAAGCCTACAACTGACTTAAAAAAGAAGAGTCCAGGGAGACTTTGAATGTGTAATTGTGTTAGGCATCAGCACCTTTACCAAGTTCATTTCTTGTTTCCATGTGTTCCACAGCCCCTACATTATTACTGTTAATTACAGTTGGTATTTAATAGGTTCCTACCAAATACAAGACACCATTCGATTACCTCACTGTAGCAACCCAGTTAGTCTTCATGGTAACCCTAAGAGAGAGGTTAGATTTGTTTCACAGAGGACACAATACAGACACGCAGAGGTGACCGACATTGCCATGGTCACTCAGCTAGCGAGGGGCAGGACAGATACTGGGAGCTCAGGGCCTGCCCTCTGCCGCTGCAGTTATTTATTTACCCTTCCTTCCCCGGGGTAGAAGTCAGGCTTCCTGGCCATGATCTAGTCTGCTGCCCAGCCTGCCCTGGCCTGCGTGAGGGTTCTTGGTTTCTGAGACTTCATTGTGGACAATTCAACCAGTGTTTGCCAAATGAATCAATTCCTGGGTGAGAATGAATGGCAGGAGAGGATACAGGACAGACAGAAAACGTGCGCTCTGGTACCGGTTCCCATGAATAGGGAACAAAGTGACTTCTGGCCTCAGTTTCCTACCTCTTCTGTAAACTTGAAATTCTTTTGAGTCTAGGTCTTAGAGTGTGTGATTTGCTCACCTGTGCCACGTGGGTGGTGACCTGGACACACCTGGATGCTCTGGGGCCACCCCTCGGTGACAGGGCATTGGGACAGCTTGCTGTCATTGCTTCAGAGAGGCGAAAGGGGACATGAGACCGGAGGAGGAGGAAGAGTGGGAAGGGGAAGATCTGGAAACTGCTTTCCCAGGAGCAGAAGGCCAGGCAGGCGGAGCTGGGCTACAGGTCACAGCGAGGCTCAGAC